CTAGCAACAATACTAGTGCAAAAGAGAGCGAGTTTGATTTTAGGTATAAATAGGGATGAAGAAGGGAATTCAAAAGGAATTTAGAAGATTCGAAGCCATTGAGGAAATCCTGAGAAGAAGTTAACTAGGGACAATTTTAGAGACTACTTGAGGGATAATTGAGAGGCAATTGGGAAGAATTTAAAGATAGTTTAGAATAACTTAGGAGGGAATGTGAGGAAAACTTCGAGAGAAGGAAACAAATTAAAATAAACCTAAATAACTGGAGAGTCAAAGCTTCTTACCAAGTTGTGAAGATGAGAAAGATGCTAGAATCATCATCTTCGAGGCATCCTCTATGATTTTTGGGTCTCGAAAGAGCACCATTCCATCAATTTAAACGAGCACCCACTACTACAACGACCTATCCGATCTCCACCGATCAGGTATCCAAATAAGGTCTTCCCTTCAATTTACTACCTCATTTGCATCAATATGACCTCTAGCTACTCCTAAAAGGTTAATGACGGTGATTTTCATCATTGCCATCCCAAAAACCGAACTCATCTCAATCGCACACACCATCATTCTAGTTTTTTTTTAAGAGGGTTTAGATCAAATTCGGGGCACCCACTCAATTCTCGGTTTAGCTTTCAAAATTAGGCTAGAATTCTAGGCTTAGCTAGTTTAATTTTGAGTTTTAGGGGTTCGACTAGGAAAGCAATGAGGGATATAGGGTTTTCGGTTTGAAAAGAAAAATAAGATTTAAGTTAAATTGATTAAGGATTTGGCTAATTTAGGGGAAGATAAGGAAAGGGAACGAGAGGAAGTAATGATCAAGGCTAGGTAGAAATTAGAATGAGTCTTAGATTCTTTAGGTTTGCAAGAAAAGATGAGGGATCGAGTGGTTTTTTGGAGATAGGGTTTAAAAGGTTGAGATCGGTCGATCTTATAAGTAATTAAAGAAATCTAGGCAAATGAGAGACGAGAGAGGAAGAGAGAACGACAAAGGGTTAGGGATTCGATTTTCATAAGGTAGTGTGGGTGAAGCTTTTTGATTTGAAAGAGAAGAGAAAAATCGAGCGAGTTACATACGGAGGCGATTTAGGCGAGAGAAGTTTAGGGAGGAAGATGGAGAAGGATAAAGAAAAGAGTTGCAAGAAGTGGAATTGAGAGACAAAAAAGTAGGAAGACGAGAGGGATAAAATTTTGGTGGTTTGTTCGAATTGGTTTTTGGAAAAAGAAAAAATATATTAGGAGAATTAGTTTAAGCCAAGTAAAGAAAAGAAGGGTTGAGCTTAGCTAAGACCAACGCCAAGCCCAACTAGCGTGGCAAGGTTTGGGCTAATCTCGGCCTAGCCCGAGCTTGGAAAAAAAAAAGGCAAAGAAGAAGAAGAAGAAGAAGAGAAAAGGTAGCCTAACCTAGTAGGCCTCGCCTAATAGGCCAAGTGGCCTACCGATCCCAAAAAGAAAGCCTAATACCCAAATTTTAGTCCTTTTTCGGATAAGTTGATCCTCAATTTCTTTTATATATATATGTTTGTTTTTTTTTTCTATGGTTAGTTTTAGATTTAATATTTTGAATTCTTTGAATTTGTTTAGTTAGTGTTTAATTTTAGAAGGAACGTTAGGGAAAATATAAAAAGAAAAAAAAAGGCTAGGAAAAATATAAAAAAAATGTTAGGTAAAAGATTAAAAAAAAAAAAAAAGACAAAATAATAGGGGGAAAAATGCTTGGAAAATGATTTTAAAAAAAGAAAAAAAAGGCTAGATAAAAAACAATAGAATGATATCGAAAAAAATGATAAAAAAAGCAAGAAAAAAGGAGAGAAAATGATAGAAAAAAATAAAACTAAAAATAAATTAAAAAATTAAAAATATAAGAAAAGCACTAGGTGAAAAATTAACAAAGTCTCATATTTAATTAGAACTGATGTTAGGCCAAAGCAATCATATTTAGTAATTAGGTTATTCTACGATATGCCGGTTATGTCAAGATTCAAATTGGATTTCATGTTGAATTAACAAGATACTCAATCAAGAGTCCGATGATCAGTTCAATATGATGTCACAAACGAAAAATAAAAAGAAAATAAATAATTTTCCTTAGGAAATAAAACTTGAAATTTTGACTTAGGATTAATTTTGGCCAAAATTAAAATTTGTAGAAGATAAATTTTAAAACTAACTTAGACAAGGTACCTTTCTTAGGAAATGGTACTTTTTGATGATTGATATCTTTTAAAAAAACATAACCAACCCCTTACTCTAGAATCTATGAACTAATGTTCATTTCAAGTTTCTAATTACCTTTAATACTAGGTGACGACTACGAAACCAATAATAACTCACATCCCCAAACAAACAAAATTTTCAAATAAAACTTTAAATTTTTCAAGAGTCCCTCAAACTTCGGATAGCAACAAGTGAAATTTATTATTATCAATAATAATAATAGATGTAGTTTTGATTTGTTCTAATGAAAGTTTTGTTGGTAAAAAAAAAAAAAAAAGGTCGTGACAATAATAAAAGTCAAAGGGACGGTAGTTAGATAGTTTAGATAGAGACGAAGATGATAATAATAAGGTAATGATAGTTATTTGATATACATTAAGAGTTCGTAATTTATTATTATTATTTTGGTACATTATGTTTTAAAATTTTAAAATTTTCATTTCTTAGATTAGAACAAAATAAAGGCTCTAAAATTATTGATTTCGATTGTATATAATAGAACTAGATGTTTTAGTAGCTTATTATATAGAGTATTCATTTTTTTTTTTTTTTGTGATGACAAAACCAATAATTAATTCTCATATTCATATAATATTTCAATATATAATGATATAAAGACATGTGTATTTATTTTTGTAATTTGTATATTTCAATATATGAAAAGAAAATTTTAGTGACAACTCTTGATGAACAAGAACAAATGAAAGATTTAACACAACTAAAGTTAATTAAATAAAAATACTTAAAAACCTCACATTTAAGTCATACATAAAGTGTTTTAAGCATAATCAATTTAGTATTCAACATTCTAATTTGATCACAAATAATATAACATTTGCATTACAAAAGTTGACTCCTCACAACAAGCGACTATCTACTAATTTTATAATGAAATCCAATAAAGTAATTTTTGTCTAGCATTGCTACTTTACTCTCAACTTACTCTATCCCCTAAATAGTAAATATCTATTAAGTCCCAAAACAATATATTTTATCAATTTGGTCCTAAATACTTGTAAGGATTTCTTATCCGGGTCCTTTTTTTCAAATTTTCTCAATATTCTCCATCTAAGCAATAAAATGGTGTGGTTTTAAAGAAAACTCGATAGAAACAACGGTAAAAATGAACAAGTTTACCCAATTGAGAAATATCTGAAACATTTGGGATCTTACTGGTAAAATTATTTATTTTGTCATATAATTGAACAATAGGGGTAACTTGAGATTTTTCCTTAATAAATTTATATAGGATTAAAAAAACACACACACACACATTTTATAGTTTCAGATAATTATTCGATACAAAAAGTATAACACCATCAACATACAACAGGCAAAGGATGGACCATATATATATATATATATATATATATATATATATCCAAAAGGATGTGAGATGAATTCCATACTGCTCAAAACAACCTCCCCTTCTTCGGCTTGTCGAAAATGCCAGGTCCATATGTGGAAAAGAAAATCTCAACTAGGAGAGGGAATTGTAGCAGAGCGAAAAGCGTGACAGGAAGACTAGCCAGCAAAATTATGGGAAAGGAAACCCACGAAAAACGATCTCGAAGCATCATAACAAGCGTAATGCCGAAGGTTACCATCATAGTTGCTATCGAAAAGAAAAGACAGGAAAGGCCTATTATCAACTTTGTGGGCAAGGACTTGAGGAAATCTTCCTCTCTATACCGCGATGTCAGGATTCCCAGGAACATCAACAACGAAGATGTAGATGCGAACAATGACATTGCGTCCGACACTATGAAAAGGAGGAACGAATTCCGATTCAAGTATATAGGAATGCCTGAGTACTGATCATATCCACCTGGAACAGTAAAGATTGCTGAAAACATTATGGTAGCAACAAGAGCAGCCGCAACTGTGCAAGATTCGGCCGTGTCCTTCATCCATCTCTCCCCTTCATCTACTAGTTTCTTGTGGTGCTCGGTGAATAAAGTTTGAGGTGTTTTATGCTGCGCATTTATCATCTCCCTGTACTTCGGTTGGACAACGCTCTCTACCTCCTGAAATGCAGCAAAATCTTTTAAGAAATATGTGGGAGGGACTACTTTCTTCCAATTATGAGAAGTTTGGAGATTACCTTATACCATTGCAGCTCTCTTTGCATTTGTAATGCTGCGCCCGAAACACGATCAAGCTGAGTGGAAGGTGCTATGACTGCAGCTTGATGTAAGATGTTGTTCTTATACCTGTCCCAAGAAGTTGCCATTGAGTTCTTCTTTGCCCCCATTCTATATATAAGGCTGAAGATCTTTTCTTGGCGTTCGTGGGTTGCGTATAAGAATATGCCCCGTTGATGTTCATCCTCGCACCATATAATGTCAGGATAATGTCTAACAATTTCAACGATGAATTCAACAATTCCATGCTTAACAGCATTGAATACAGATCTGTACACACCGATTTCTTTGAATTCTGATCTATGCAGAGTTGATATTTGTTCGCATACGCAACTGAGAACTGCATGTGCTTGGCTATGCATCAACTTCAGGTTATACATATGCTTGATAGCTGGAACTGCAAGTATAATTTGGTCCAGGACTTGTAAGTCATAAACAAACTGCTACTAGCATGGCAAGATTCAGAATTTACTTACCAAAAATTTTCAAGCCCTTCCAAACCATCACTGACAATTTGCCAGATGCTGGAAAATCCATATAACATATCGAAATGAAACATGAAAATGTCAGTTCAAAAAAAGTAAAATAATGTAGTAAACGTAAATAGCTGAAACTTGAAATTTTCAATTGGCATCTCATGTTTTACGATATACTTCGTTTAACAATATTCCTTCGATCAGTCGGTCCCTTATTCGCCCTTTCAATATCTCCGCGGCTGTTGCTGGAGGCTAGTGGCTGAGGTACCCGGATACCTACAACAAGATGATGCCACATTGAATGACATGAAAAGAAAAGCAAAACTGCCTTTCATGAGGCCATTAATTTGTTTTCTTTTTTTTTTAGCCCAATGTTCATGTTCATTTTGCCTTACGGAGATAATCGTCGATGGTATCATGTTTTATTTGTAAACTGAGTGAAAGTAGTTACGTACTGTTGTATATCCATTGTTGCCACCAAGCAAATTGAGTTCCACTGGGGAAACCGGAAGGTTTTTGAGCCAACATATCAAGAGCTGTGTCTCCGTCACTGTCTTTTTCAAGAGCCAGTTCTGGGTAAAGTTGAAGCAGATCCAAGGCAATATCTGTATGAACATTAAACAATGCACCAAGAAAAGCAAAGAAGAGTTAAATAAGATAGAATTTTGAGTTGAAGAACTAGGGGAGAAGCAAAGTAGGATCATTCTAACTACTAAATTATACCATAGAGTTCGTCAATGATACATGTTGTGAGTAGCATAACCACATTCTTTTTGTTTGCAGCTGGACTGAGCTCCTCTTTCTTACTCTTACTGTAAAGATAACGAACCATCTCTTTATGCCCATAAATAGAAGCTACAACAACTGGGATCTGGTCATTCTGGTTAGGAACTTTAAGTAAACCTGGATTCTTTTTCACCAAGTCCTCGGCAATCCTTGTGATCCCTCCAATGGCAGCATAATTAAGCGCGGTGGCATTTTTTCTGTTTTTGATTCCCAACTGATCAGCCCCTAACCGGTTGACCAGCTCCACCACAATCTCTACGTGCCCTGCCAAAACCGCAATGTGGAGGGCAGTGTCCCCATCTTCTGAAATGCTGGCAGTCAGTCTATCAGGTTGTTCTTCCAGGAATTTCATTGTAGCATCTAGGTCGCCATTGTCAACGGCCCTATACAGCGGCAGATACTGGATGTATCCCATATCTATCATCTCTGACAATTTATAGCATCAAACACATTCACATAGCTATAGCATTAAACACACTGAATCGTTAATACTCAACACCTGAAAAAATAGGAAGCTTAGAGAGTGAATTAATTACCATATTCCTTTCTTGAGCTCACATGCGACACTGAAGGCCGTGATGCCAACCTGCTTGGCGCCCTGCTTGATGTCAAATCACTATGAGGATCCATATCTGTTGGAGAAGCAGCCTGAAAATGTCGCTGAAACATCACATTTAATTGAGTTTTATGAGCATGGCTTTCTACTTTCAGAGAATTTTTTTTTTTTTTTAAATGTCCCCCCGCCACTACTGTGAACAACAACCATATATGTGTATGTATGTACGCGCAAGCGCAGAAAGTCCACGGATTAGGAAACAAAGAAATAAAACGGTGCATTTCTATCTATAACAAGTCAGAATGCTGAAACATTGATTACAGTTTTAGAAGGATATCACCAGAAGCTGATTTCGGTGAGAAATTTTAATACTGGAAATACACACACACACCCCCATGTTTCTATGCAAATGTAGCACTAAAGGATGCACAAGTTATATATATATATATACGCCTTTTCAGGTGATTGGGATGCTGAATATAAACAAGATCTAATATAACATATATTTTGCCTAAGAATTTAATATGCTAGATCAACACTTACAGAAAGTACACTGTTCAATCACAGCTTGCACTCAACAGGGTTGGTTGCAGCAGATGAAGTGACCTTAAAAGACTCAATGAATTCAAGGAAGTGAATCCAATCAATTTATAATACAGAGTGAAGGAATAAACCATGCACAGAATAAAGTAAATCCCCATTCCAAGTAAATGAAACTAAGAATATATGTGGAAGTTTTTTCACTGCTTATTTTTCTGCTTTGGATTCTAAACATGCTGTGATTCTTTAGTGTCTTTTGAAAGAGCTGGTTGAGAAAATGGGATCACTGTAATGTTTTCTTTCTCCTGTAATTTGCTTTCATGTCTCTTTAATGATTCCTGCAAAGGTTAAGGTTGAGAGAATAGTTTCACAACCCTATTATTGCCCAATATGAAACGATGAACCCTTTATGCCTGTTGAAAGAAGAACAATGTGCTTGTAGTCCAAGCAAACCAAAAAACAGGGGTAGAACTCAGCTACTAATACCTTTAGGAACAGAAAAAGAAGGACATGGATCATTGCTATTAATGTTTTCTTGCTAACATATATTCTTTTGTGCGTTTTGTTGAGTATAAACAGTGAAGAAAGATCAAGAAATAGCTGGAAATGAAAAAGATTGTTCCTGTTAAACAAAGAACTACTAAAAAGAAGTTAATTTGTTCTAAAGGCTAATTATTTGTCGACAACAGCAATCATCCTAAAGATTGTGAGCACAGTTTTTCTTTCTTTGCTTCTTTCCTCTTTTCCTGTTTTATTAGGACACAGAACTTTGAATCAAAACTTCTTTGAACCTTTTGCTCTTTTCTCTCTTTTCTTTTTTAGTGGACTGCTGACTTAAAATTCAGAAAACTTAGCTAATGTAAGTTCATTTCAGAGATTGTAGTTTTGATTCTTGTAACTTAATTAGAACCACATTTCACATATTGAAGGGGAATGCTACATGCCTGTAAACCTAGCCAAGGTTTGAGTAAATTATAAATTAGTCCCTTTTGTTTAGAAAAACAAATTAATTAATCCCCTTCCTTTCAAAAACTAATCACTTATTCTTTTATATTTTAATTGATTAATTTATTATTATTTTGAATAAGTTAATTAGTCCCCTTTTTTTCAAAAAGAAAGAAATAAGACATCAAAGGAAGAATAATATGAGAACTAATTTAACATAAAACTAATGAATGTACTAAGTTATTGATTAAATTAAAACACAGAAAACTAAATGATTAGTTTAAAAAAAAACATGACTAATCAGTTTGTTTTTCAAAACAAAAGGGACTAATTTATAATTTACTCTCAAAGTTTCAATACTTTTTATTATTATTATTATTATTACCACTGTTACTTTGAAATTCTAACCTTTTGTTTTTGTGAGAAATTTGAGCTTTTTAACCACTAACTACATAACAAAGTAATATAACTTATCTTGATTTACAATCATTATCTAATTTTAGTTAAATGCTTTACTTTAAGATCAATCTTTACATAATTACTACTAGTGTTCTCTCATCCACCAACAAAAACAACAAACTACAGAGGATGAGGAACATACTAATACTAATATCGACTTAAGACATATCAATTTTTATCCACTAACATTAACTTCATTTATATCGATCCAGACTAGTAAATATGTTTTTACAATCTTCTTTTGAATCCAAACTTGAAATAATCTGTAACTGTCATGTTCATTTTTCTTACAGCTGCTTAATCTAATATTTCTATCGCTCTGTTCAAAGTCAAAAGTTTTTATTTTTCAAAGAGAAGTTATCCTCCTCCAAAGTCCGAACTAGATGAGGTGAAACGCTACTCTCTAAATAATAAATTTCTGTAATAGAGAGAGAAGCCATAAGCCATCCACTTTGACTGAACTATTGCTTTGAAAATTCGGTGTGGCCTGCGGTTGCTATCATTGCATTACCTTGCCAGTATTTATAGCGCACATGTTTTGGGTTTTGACTTTTATTTTTGTTTTCAAGCAAAATTGTCTGTCTTTCTTTTATTTTTTGAATCTAAAATCATAAACAATATCAAAGCTTTCAGCTCAAACCAATGGCCAAACCATTTTTTCCAACAACAAAAAAATAATTGTCCTAAACTTGGGTCATCCACACCACCCTCCGCTTCAATTTTTTGTCTTCTCCGTCCGCCACTCTCCTGCCTCCATCATGGACCCCTACCACTATCCCACCACCGGCAAACCACCACCTCCATCCCCACCAAAAAAACAACTACAAATCCAAGGCCCTAGACCTTCAGCTCTAAAAGTCCACCATGAGTCGCACAAAATCAAGAAACCACCTCTCCCTCCGCCAAGACAGCCTGTCATCATCTATGCAGTCTCTCCAAAGATCATCCACACAGAGGAATCCAACTTCATGTCTGTCGTCCAACGGTTAACAGGTCTCTCCTCCGGTGACTTCTCTTACGATGGATCTGTTTCTCCAGCTGCAAGACTTGCTGCCACTGAGAAAGCAAGCCCAAGAGAATTAACAAGACCAATTACCACTCATGATAGTAGTAACGATGATCTGATGGAGATAATAAAACATATGGATGTTGGTCAATTTCCGGGGATCTTGTCACCGGCACCAGCGACGATACCGCCGGTACCAACTGGGTTTTTCTCTCCAGCGTCAACAGATGCAAACTCATCACTATCTTTCCTGAATGACAATTTTATGAGTCCATTCTTTATGGCCAGTCCTTCAGGTTATCTTTCAGGTCCTAGTATAGTTTCTCCTTTACATTCACCAGATATTTTTAGCAGCCTGTTTATGGATTCGTAGATGAGAAAAAGAAAAGAGTGTGAAGATTTAAAGGTTTAGTTTTAGATTGGATTCTTGTTTTGACTAAGTCAAGAATGGGTGGTTGGATTCTTGTATTGACTGACTTTTTTTTAAGAAGAAGAAAGATTTAATGGTAGGGTTTGGAAAATTTGTTGTAGAGTTTCTTAGTGATTTGAGGCTTTCGTATGGTTAACTGTACAAATAGCAAAATTTGGAGATATTTATTTGTACTTACTTGTAAGTTTCTGCTGCCTTTTCTATTGGAATTTTGTTCTTAACTTTATGGTGAAGAGCTGAAGATGGTTGTTGTGTATTTAATGGACTTTATTACATTGGTGGGTCACGCTTTTGGCCCACATTTACTTTCTTTCAAGAACCCTTTTCTTTTGAATTGAATTGTTCATACATGAGATGTGGATTTGATCATTGTGATTTCCCCTTTAGGAGTAATTTGATCTTTTAGGACTAATTATTCTATAGATTCAGCTTACGTAGATCAAAGCAGTTTTAATTGGTTAGTGAAAACAGAGCCAGGTGATTACTGTAAGTGGGTTCCAATGAAGTTATTAACTTGGTCTACATAATTCAAGATACAAGTATTTTTCTTCTTGTTATGGTTGATATATGATGTTATTCGTTTCGAAATATCCCTTGTAGATTAATTTTACAGTCAACTCAGGATATGTCTTGTATTACGAATGGAAATTTTTCTGCGATACTAATTCTGCTGGATGGATATTTTGGGTAAGTCATGAATTCAAGGCAAGAACATCAGAACAGGAATTCAGTGACATAAACTGGAAACGGCAACAACATAGGTTTAATATTTTAAGTACAGACAAACAAGAAATTTCGGGAAAACTGCCTTTTTAGCTTGTTCCCCACGAACACGATTGACAAGAAAGGTGATTCGATCCTTCTGGTAATGCTAGCTCCGGTTCCCATTTTTTACGTTCTGCTCAATTTTTAACAAATCACAACGAAATCTATTCACTATTGCATGAATTATTGGAATGATTACGGTAATATTTGAAGGGAACCAGCTAGGAAAATCACTCACCGTACAAAATGATTCAAGGATAAAATTCAGGGAAATGATGTGAGATGGTCTTTTATTCGTCAGGATCTGTCAAAGTCCATGGATCTAGTGATTAAACACATCAAACTGAGACCCTAATAATTGGAGTACCCAGATTTTTATCCCCCCACCTCCAGCATATCAAACACAAAAATCACATGGAGTTTAAAGGCTCAATGAAGAGACCAAAAGAATCCAATCATTACAGGGAAAAAGACAAAAAGATCCGGACATGTTTATTGATACATTACATTGACCAAAACTTTACTTGCACCATGGAGTTACTATGCATTAGCATTTTTATACTTCACACTTATAGTTGTTATTTGATATGCAGAGTTTTATCGAATGTTACATTTTAATTCTTAATGTTTGTAAGAATTTTTTTTTTTTTTAATTTTTGACTTCATTTATGTTATTGTTTGATTTTAAATATAGAGAGAGAAAAAAAAAAAAAAGAGAAGAGAAGAAAGAAAAAGTTATGACCACTATCAATTCCAACTATTTTGATCATCTATTTTGCATTTAAATTATTTATTTTAAAGATAAAATTTTATTTACGATGACTTCAAACCATAAAATGATTTGAGGAGGTAATTAATACCCTAAAACATTTTGAATATTCAGATTTGATTTTTTTTTTTTTATGTGCATTGAAATGTATTTTAAGGTTTCAATATACATATATATATGAGCAACAGGGAAGTCAAGCAAGTCGTATATTAAAATGTTTTTGGTAGAAATAATGCTAGACCTTGATTCTGAAGGCCTAAAGTCAGAATCTTGATTTGAGCATAGTTTCTGACAAATTAGAGTTTGTCAAAAGTTACAAGTGAATGACACGCCGCTTGCTATGCAAAGAGAGAGCAATGCCTCATCCATTTTTCTTTTTTCTTGAAAAAAAAAAAAGCAGAATGGGCCTACTTCTATAGGCCCAAGGGCACCGACCGAGCTAGGTTTCATTATTTTTTTTATTTTTTTTTGTGTAATTTATTTTTTTATTATTAAATTTGATGCAAAAATTATTAAAAAAATCAACTTTTCTTTTTTGGATTTTTTCCTACAATTAACAATGATAAAATATACATGATATGTTTCTGAATTTTAGAACGAACATATATGTCAAATTATATTATTTTTATTGTTTAAAATTAATTTTTCTAATATATCATTTTTTATAAAAAAAAATCATCTAATTAATTTTTTATTTTTTTATATAATTTTATTTGTTAACCAATATGATTTATTTTTTCCTATGCATAGATTTTAAAATAAAATTTTAGAACATAATAATTATTATTATTTAATAAATTTATAATTTATATGATGGATTTCTTATGATGTTTAAATGAGAGTTGCATAATTGTGTGTAAATGTTAAAAGGCTAAAAGTGTAATTTACTTAGTTTGTCTCAAATTTTTTTATTTTTTACATAATTAATTAAAAAATAGAATTCACATATTTTATTTCTTTTTTATTTATATAATCAAAATTTATAAAAATTAATTTTATAATAGCTTTTATTTCAATCTATTAAGTACAAATTTATTCCATATATTTCTTATAAGTTATTTTTTTTTTAATAGTTTGTTTTATGTTGCACATTCTGAATCCATTTAATATAATCATAATGTCTATAAAAAAATTAAAATATTGATTTTATTATAAATTAACTATATATCTACACATATGATAAAAACCATATACTATTTTTTTTTAAATATTCTAAGATCAATTTTTTTGAAATAAAATAATTAAAATAATATTTTAAAAGAATGAACCTATAATTCAAATATAATTTTCTATATTAATATTATTAATTATTTTATTAATAAACATATATAAATTAAATATATTTTTTTATAATAATCTTCTCATCAACATTGAATAAAAATAAAATATTATTTTTTTAAAATTAGGTTGTTTTATTTCCTCGATACAAACTTGTCATAGCCACAAAAAACAAAATCACTTTCATTTTTTATTTATTTTAGTTGAATTATTATTTTTTTAAAAAAGAGTGAAAATAAATTAAAAATAAAAATAAAAAGGGTCAGAATTCGATTGAAATTTATCCCAATCCTCTAACCATTTTTTTGAATTTGATCTATCCCGATTGTTTAGCTAATCAGAATCACAGATCAATTACAGAAGTTGAGTTCAAATTGGATACCTAAAAAATCCGAGTTTTGAAGTGTTTGTGTTGGAATGAAACTTGAATTAAGATGTTTATAAAAGGGACATCAGTTGAAAAGGAAAAGGAAGGGAATTCAGGGTAGATAGGAGAGAGTAAAAAAAGGGTAAAAAATCGAGTGATTTTAGGAAAAATTTGGCTGCATTTTCTGGGTTCTCTAGGGAAGTGTTCTTCGTGTTCTTCATTTATGGGTTTTAGTTCGTCCATAATTGACGTCGTTTCTCAATCTTTTGTGGTTTCTTTAGGTTCTTTTACTATCATCATACGATTCCTAATCCATATTACCAGTGTGGGGGTTGTGATTTTGCTTTCTTCGATTTTCCTTCTTTGGATTTCTGGGCAGCCGTTGAAGGTGCTCATGAATTTCTGGGTTCGTGTTTATCCTTGTTGCTACTGCTGGGACTAATTCCTGGACTGTGGACACGTTTCAGGCATCTCACATCAGTTAAGAACCTTTATGTCACTTAGAAATCATCCCAGAACTTCTTCTTTTTGTCCTCAATTCAGCTGACGAACCAATAACCAATATTTTCAAAAACTTCCAGTCAGTTTGCTTTCCTTTTCATTTTTCCAGTTTCAATTTCTTTTATTGCTGCCAGTTAAGTTTCTTTTGTTGTTTGAGCTTTTATATTTAAGTGCATGCTATAAGATGAGGAAATGGAAGATAAATTAGTCAATCATCTTTAGTTCCAAAAGGAAATTTTGATTTCGGGAAAAGGGGAGGAAGAATAGGAGAGAGAGGCAACAAGAACATGAGAGAGAGACAGCTTCAGAATTTAATAGGAAGGTGTTTGATCGAAAACATAAGGAAAGCTGCTGTTGGATTGTGTTTATGGGTCTTAGCCCAGTCCCTAGTAAGTCAAAAAAAAAAAAATATAGAAAGGAACATGAGTTGGGCCAAGCCCAACCCACGTTGAATAAGGTAGTCCAGCCCAGCTTAGGAACAAAAATGGAAAAAGAGCAGGGGTTGGTTCAGTCCAGCCTCAGCCTTCCTCCCTTACCCCTCTTTCCTTTCAAAAAAGAAAAAACGTACAAAAGAGAGGTTGGACTGGAATTAGTCCAGCCTCTCCAAAAAATTTGATTAACAAAAAATGGTAAAAAAGAAAATAGAAGTAGGAAAAAAAAAAAAGAGTAGGAATAAAGAAGAAAAATAATAAAAACAAAACAAAACAAAAAAAAAATGTTCGAATATATCTTAAATTTTAGATTTGTAAAAATGTTTAGCGTTTTGTATTTAATTTAGAAATTTAATTATATGTAATTATTTTAATTAATTTAATTGCCTTTTGTAATTTGTTATATGTATTTTAGATTTGTCTCGTGATTGTTTTAATTCATGTAATTTCAATTCTCAACAAAGTCTCCTTCTAACGAGGACTCGTCATTTTGTGACAAGGTCTCCTATTTGATAGGAACCGTCGTTGTAAAAAAGTAATAAATTTTGCTAATGAAGTCTCTTTCTAATAGGGATTGTCGTTTCGTGACGAGACCTCCTATTTGATAGGGACCGTCGTTATCAAAAATCATCGATTAATAAATCAAAATATCCTCCAACACACTCGTTGTGTCAAGGCTTAAAGTGAATCGGATATTTGAATCGACGTGTCACTCTATGGAAGGGACCGACGATCATTTCAATACAATGTCATGCTCAACAACTAACATTTTTTTTTTTCAATTTGGCTTTAAAAATTAGAGTAAAAAAAATTTTGAAAAAAAATTTGGCAT